ATCATGAGCACGACAACAAAAATGTGTTTTTATATCAGGCACTTTTTAAAGAGATCCAAATTTTTGCTTCCTAAATTCTGTCAAAAAGCCAACAGGTTCAGTGGTTGCACTTACTTTTTGCATGACTGTATCTGCAATCTTTCTGTGTCAATGCTAAAATACGAGGTGTTTTCTCATCTTGAACAAATATCTTGTATTTGACATGATCATTGCAATATGTGCCCCACGTCAGGCTTATTGTATTCTAATCACAGGAGACGTAGTGCTCAGTGTAGTAGTGTGTATCTAAGTCCTGCTTCTCCTTTCAGGTCAATCTAAAAATGAGGCTCCGCATCTCTTACACCAGCCAAGGATCAGCTGTTCAGGATACGGTCCAGATCGACTCCTTCCCTGGACTCGGTCAGTGATCTCAGCCAATCATTGCAACAGGACTGAGACACCTGTCTGTGGGTGAATGAGCGGGCGTCGTTTCTCTCTGACGCAGCCTTTCTACTGACACACCCTACACACTGCCGGTCCTCGGTTACCCTGATCTCTTGTTTCTATGTGTAAGAAACACGGTTCTCTCAGAAGCCTCGTGTATGGAGTTGCATCTGTCCATTCCTCAGGAATAGATCAAGGAGATTATTGGAGTGGACACTGGAATATGCAGGTACAAAATGGAAAAACATAAAATACTTTTTTTTAATGTTGCATCGACAACTGTCTATTAGATATCATTCAGGGTTTTTGTTTACAAGCTGCTACAGCTGATTGTATTCAGTGTTTCACTCCACAGTAATATAAACTTTGAGGGGCTTCTGTCAGTCATCCACCAGATCAACACACACACACACACACAGCAGTTTATGCATGCTTTTAATAAATTTGTCTTTACACTGATTGAGAGGAGGCAAACACTAATTAATGAGCTACTACAACTAATTTATTATATCAGATACACATCATTTTATTAGGAAACGCAAATATATGAAATTTGGATGAAAGGAAGCTTTTAAACACAACCTTGAGTCCTTCATCTTTTTTTTCCCCCTTTATTCACCTGATCAGCAATATCCATGTCCTGAACCATTCCTGTGCCTTTCATCCTCTCTTAAAATGTAATATTTAGCTTTTGAGGCCAAGATTATTTAACTTTGAGTTGTTTTGTTTTTTTAATCACTCCCATACAAGGATTTTCCTTAATGCTATTCTTTGTCTGTTGTTTACCAAAATGAGTTATTTTCTGATGTAAGTGTATGGTGACGCAAAAGGAAAAACACGCATGATGCTGTCTGGAAAATGTATATTTTAGATATTCAAAGTATAAGCACAAGAGTTTTATGACTGTAAACAAAGCCAGCATATGACTTTGATAACTCATCTTAACCCCTTTTAAAACCACTCCACGTACTGGATGTCAGCAACGGTGCTCTACATGGATTTCACTGGAGTCTTTACCAGACTGTTTGTATCACTACCTTAACTAAATTATAGACACAGAAGGAATCATTTGACAGCAGTTTGGATTGTCTTTCAATCTTCAATTTCATGTCATTTTCTAATTAAAAACTGTTTCCAGAATCCTCAGCTGTGACTTGATTTCAGTGTGTGTGTGTGTATATATATATATATATGTGTATATATATCAGAGGACAACACTTAGATCAACTTCATCATTTATTCACAAGCAAAAAGACCACAGTGTTGTCAAACTGTCTCTTCATGGGTGCCTGCATTAACTGGTCAAACTCAGAAAGCCAGTGTGGGATTTCAAAAACAAGTACAAAGGAATTAGAACGTCCTTTTTTCTTTTTAATGTTTCCGGTTGATTTTTGTTTTGTTTTGTTTTGTCGTTTCCGTCGGCCTGGAAACGGAGGATTTCAGATTTCTGCGTTGAAACATGGTTAGACGATGACAGACACCTAAAGCGTTGGCACTCGGCCGGCTTCCCATGATGACAGCGACTCATGACGTGGAGGACAGGGGTAAGCAGCAACTGTGGTTTGTTGATCCTCCTCTTAGCGCCAACACAAGATGGAGCACTGAGCCTCCCTGGATCTTGTAGTCTGCTGCTGTCTTCTCATCATTCCTGAGGTTCACAAGACAACACAGGAGATGATTAGAGTTCGCAGGAGAACACCTGGAGATCATATGCAGACAGCTGCAGAGCAAAATGCCTCACATCTGTTTTCCACTGTAGATAAGTCTCTGTTGCTGCGGTGGGATCCCTTCCTTCTCTTCCACTCTTTCTTTAATCCGCTCCACCTTGATTTGAGCAAAAACAAGAGATTAAGCAACAAAATCTAGCAGCTGCATATAACAAGGACTATTTATCACAAGATGTTACCTTATCTGTGGGCTCTATGTCAATCTCTATTTCTTTTCCAGTGAGAGTCTGAAACATAACAAAACGATTATAGAAACACTGAACTTTCACAATCCTAAATGGTTAAGAAGAAGGAGGAATTCACCAAGGATTTTCTCTGGGCTCGAGCCAAGCTGCCAGGGAATTTCAGCTACTATACTATTGTACATAAACACTGTCACACAGTTACGGTTAAAATAAATGTCTTGGGACTTTTTTGGAAATTTTTGATCCAAAATTTGATGTAATTTTGCCAGATGATTTGAACTCTGGATTTGCATACAGCGGTTTCGAAAAGGATGCCCGTGTCGGTTAATGGAAAAACTGATTATTTTCACTACTAGCCAAGTCGCCATATCTCTGTTTATAGACTCTGTTAAACTTTAGAAACACGTCAACATTTCGGTCGCAAGTACACAATGAAGTCTCGTGTCATCGGTAGCGTAAACCCTAAACATTTTTTGCCCTTTTTGCTTTGTCACAACTATAAAGTATTCACTGGTTGTAGTACAGCACGGGCTAACCTGTTTTCAGTCACCAAAACTAGATGTTAGCAACGATGAGTGTTAGAAAACGTCAAACAATAGCAACTTAGTGAAGAAAGAGCAGTTTCGCTTGAATGATCGGGTGCTTAACACTGATCTGTTTCACAGCATGTCGGGTGCAAGTTGGGTTTTCTGTTGCCCCAGGCCCTGAAATAAATGAGCGAACCGGCTCTGTGATATTAGCGGGATATCGAGAAACAGAGACGGGACTGAACACCACCCATGGAGCCCGGGCTAGAATCAAAGAAAGTAATGTTCTTACCTTGACTTTGATCAACATGCTGAATGAAGAAAATAATACTAACAAATTTTATGAACAGCTTGGTGAACTAAACAGCAAATTGCCGAATAACAATCTACTTCTTCTGCTAACCGGACTTTACTTCCTGTGTCACGGGCTAACATTCCGGACATGACGCCGTCACAACACACCAGCATTTTTGTTCCTCTCTGACGTATTAACTTCTAAATACAAGATCAGTTATTTCAATATATCTGTTATTTCAATACATCTATTTCTAAAGTCGCAGGCAGATTTCACGTGAACAAAAGAATGTACTTTTGTACGGCTTGAATTATACCCCATATGTACAAAAGCTTTGGTAAGTAAAATCATGGCAGCTAAATAAAAGCAAACTTCCAAAAAGCTATACCATTATAGATTTATGTAATCGATTTTCAGTAGTGATGCAACATCATATAAAAATATTGCCTCCGACAGCTGAATTGTACTCATCTATACTTTATTTTGAACTGCAAAAAGAACAAATATAAACAGTAGTCCTTATGTGCAAAAGTCTTGAATCACTCGTCATTTCCGCATAATTTCCCAGGAAAATGTGATTTATTGAAGCACACAAAATACACATAAATGCAGAATATAAGGCAAAAACAGTTTGTACAATTCTAATGAGCTTGAAAGTTAATATTTGGTATGACCATCTTTATTCTTTATCACAGTCTGAACTCTCTTAGGCGGCTTTTTTGTCATTTCTTCAGGTAGCCTTTAAGTTGAAGAACAGTCAAAGCTCTTCTCTGGATGTCGCCTGCCTTTTGTCCCATTCTCTGTCATGGTGATCCCACACTGCTTCACATATGCTCTTACTGCATTGTCAGCGTGTGTGTTGAAAAATAAAACTGTTGCCATTCAGATGTTTTCCCATGGTGGATTAAAGTCTGATGGCACTTTTCTGCATTAATGGTTTTGTCAGGATCCCCAACAGCAGTGGCTGAAATACTGACCCAAACAATGACAGAGCCTCCACCATATAGACACTCACTATTTCACCTCTCTCCTAACCTCCTCCATACATACAGACCATAATTCCAGTCAGAATGACTCATCACTCCAAGACCTGTTTCATTGATTTTCAGTCCAGTTGTTGAGCAATTTGGTATACCTCACCCCTTTCTTCCTTCCTTAAGAATGGCTTGTTGACGGCCACCCTTCCTAAGGAAATGACTTTCAGGTACTGAATACCAGCTGTAGATAATCTTTTAGTCCTCCCTCTTCTTCTCTTGTGCTCTAGCTGTTCATTAAGGACACTGCCCACTGTGCTAAAACTTTTCAGCTTTCTTTGGGAATTATGTTGTTGGTGCAAAAATAAAATTTTAGACAACTGCCAACTAAACGTGCACATGTAAGTTTACCTGATTAATGCTTTCTAGGATATTTCTTCCAAGTCTTGCATGTATGTCAACAAAAGTAAACTCAAATAAGCTTGTCAAGTTACTGATCCACATAGAGTTTGTAAGCTTTATGGAAAGTAATACTCTAAGTTTCAGTGGCCTATGATATGACACGTGTCACTTTCTTCTGTAAGACTGGGCATTTCCAAAGATAACTAGAAAAAACAAGTCTAACATTAATCTTTTCTCATGATGAAGAAAGATGCTGATTAAGAGGAAGGAAATGCGTTAAACTTAAATTCTGTCAAGCAAATGTAGTAAGAAAAAGAAATGTAAAAGTAAAGATACCACTCATTCAAGGTCCACCCGATCACACAGTGATGAGCTCATAGAGCACTCTGAGTCTGTGATTCGTGGGCTCTGCTTTCACACAGGTGTTGATGGTTGAGGTCATTAAGCAAGAAGTTCATAAAGCATGTTGGTCCCAATGTGTACAGGATTGTTTAGTCATGGGGACTCATCTCTACCTAGATTTGCTTGTCCTGGCTGTTTTTGCAATGACTGTTGCCAATGCAGGTATATATATTCTTTTTGGGGGAGGATTTCAGATATATAGACACAAATGCATATTTTTAAGTGTTTCTGTCCACATAAAAGATGACTGTGATTTTGTTTTATTTTTCCAGACATCAACGTGGTCTGTGCAAACAACTCCGTGAGGGTGACATGGAGGGTGAATGCGGAGCTGGTGCCGTATGCAGCTCGACTGTTTCTTGGAAACTGCATGGCATCTCAGTGGAAGGTTCTGCCCTCTGGAGAGGGGGAAGCACAGTTTAACTATATGTTTTCCGAGTGCAAGTTTACTAAAATGGTACTGTACTCTGAGAGATGCAACTTCAGTAGCTTCCACTCACTTGTGAGCTCTAATTTAATCGCTTGTTTGCTTTCCCGTCTTGCAGGTAAAGGGAAAACGCATATTCTATCAGAATGAAATGAGCTACAGGCCACAGACAAAGCCAAACCCTCCAGATTTTGTGCATCCCATTGAATGTGTTTACAGAAGGTTTGTGACACTTGTATTTTTTTCTCAAACTGAAATTGTATGAAATGTAGAATCTTGCCATTCTTAATATTTTTTTTTATTTCAGACCCAAGGATTGGATTCCCCGATTCGTGAACCCTGGATATGTGGTTTCCGAGGGTCACGGCAGGCTGGTCTTCCACATGGCACTTCTCAATGGTAACTTCTCACCATGCCAAATTACAAGCACGTGTTAAAACGCACACTACTTAGCATTTACTTTTCCACAGAGGAGCTATCAAGCATAGCAAAGACGAACATCATTCCTCTGGGCTCCCCCATGCCAATATGGGCAGCAGTGGAGCAGAAGTCTCATCAGCCACTGCTGTTGCTCATGGAGGAATGTGTCGCAGCCCCCACAGCTGAGCTGCGGCCCGGCAGCCAGGTTTACCCAATCATTGGAAACAAGGGGTAGGGTTCCAGTACTGTTCAGACTTTGTACTCAGTGTAGTGGAAACGATGCGTATTGGTAATCTGACTTACCAATTTCTCCAGGTGTCTTTTAGAAAGCAAAAAAGAAAATTCGATGTTTCTGCCTCGGTACCACTCGTCTTCAATCATCCTCTACCTCCAGTCCTTCAACTTTGGTTTTAGAGAGGTGAGAACAGGTTAAATTATTTCAAGAATAAATATTTAAAGGAACTTTAATTCGAGCCCTGTGTTCCTCAGGTGTACATCCACTGTAAACTGGCTGTGTGGGATCCTCAAAATTTTACCGAAAGCAAGAAGGCCTGTCATTATATAAAGGGAACTAACAGGTGATTATTGAGTTCAACAACTTGTACTTCACAAGTCTTTTACCTTTTTTCCTCAGTCTCTGGATAAATGGAAATGACATTACTGTTACACTCATTTAATAAGCTTTTTAGCATCGGAACTCTTAAAAAAGAGATTTACTTAAAGTGTTCAAGTGTTCTTGAGCAAAATTGTACTTAACTGTATTTCATACTGCTGAACTACAGGGTTTTGTGTTTTAATTCTTCATTTAACAGGCTGAACACTGCTTGCTGAATATGGAAGTTATGCTCCACATGACTGCTTTTCTTTTTGTCCCCATCTCCAGATGGGAGCTGCTTGATGACCCATCCCGAAGCTCCCTCTGTAACTGCTGTGACTTGAGCTGCAAGTCTCGGTCCAGGAGGGGTGTTGAATGGGGTAACCTCATGTGTCTTTAATGTGACTGCATGCTATCAGACCTGTACTTTCAAAGGGATTCAAATGACATCTGATTTAAAGAAGCGGGCTGTGCTTCACCACTCATGAATTCAACTCTCCTTGCAGCATCAGACGGTCCGAGTCACAATTCTGTGTTGGGACCCCTAATCATTGTGGACCAATCTGACTTGAGGGACAGTGACACAATGATGGAGTCTGCCACTACAGCTGACCCACAGCTCAAATAAGCTGTGCGACGAAGCTTGGTCAAAACGGATATCGACTGCAGTATGACTGAAGGATCTGATGGCGGATAACCTCCGAGGACGTCACGATTGTGTGATTTTTGTTTTGCGTATTCATTATTCTGGGGTTTTTGCTGTAAAATGATACTTGTTCTTGATATAACTAAAACATTGTAAACTCTTACTTGTTCTGTCAAACACCAGCCATTTTTATGTGATACTGCTGCTTTTCAGAGATGCTGTGCATCAGTAGGAAGGTGGGCCCTACTGTCAAATGCCTTCTAAATGTAAAAGTCACATTTCTGGAATTGCATTTGAATCCAATAAATGACTATTCTGTATAAACTGACAGTGTGTGCTCTTCAGATACTTGTATTTTCAAAACCTCATTTGGTGTATCACTATTGCCTCGGAGCAAGAAGGTCCTTGGGTCAAAACAATAAGCTGGGGCTTTACTGGGGTCCGTTCTTCGTACCTCGCTTACTACATCCAAGATCAAATCATCGCGCTAACTTTGAGCGAACACACCTGTTGTTGACGATTAGTACAGCTGGATGAAGTAATGTGAGATCACTGGGTGGCTTAACAGGGGCTACGCATCGATAGTAGAAACATTGATCGGCAACCCTTTGGTCGCGAAAATGTCGAAGGAGCGCGCTCAGTATTTTTCGGCAGCAGAGCAAGAACTCTTGATTGAGGGATTTCACGAGTTTCAGAGTTTAATTAAAACCCAAGGGAACACTGCAAAGGCTGCAAAAGCAAGGAGAGAGGGCTGGCAGAAAGTTGCTGACAAATTAAACTAGTAAGTCATTTAATAATAATAAAAATAATAATGGATTGGATTTATATAGCGCTTTTCAAGGCACCCAAAGCGCTTTACAATGCCACTATTCATTCACTCTCACATTCACACACTGGTGGAAGCAGCTACAGTTGTAGCCACAGCTGCCCTGGGGCAGACTGACAGAAGCGAGGCTGCCATATCGCGCCATCGGCCCCTCTGGCCAACACCAGTAGGCGGTAGGGTAAATTTATTATATTACACTATATTATATTATATTACATTATATCCTCTTTCACATTAGAGCCACGACAGGACCCACTAGAACATGGGAACAAGTAAAAGTGAAATATAATATTCTACAGAATGGTAATATTTATCACTTATATTGCTTTTAGTCTCTTGAAAAGAGTCCCTGAAATAATCTGTTTGTTTATAACAGCAACCAAGAAAAGGGCAGAGCAACAAAAGACAGGTGGTGGTACCCCCTCGTCAACAAGTTGGTTAAGTAAATAATACCCTCACGGGAAAATCGATATCTCTCAATGAGCACACTGTCGCGCTGAGCTAAAGGATCCTGTCTATCCCGCAATATACGCTGAATTCTGAGGACTCTCCTTATCAGTCTTGCACCTTCCGCAATGGGCTGCTCGCGTATACGGACAGGACATGGCTGCGGCAGACTTCCCAAATCCACCTTCGCTTTTATAGCCGTGGTCTCTCATCTTGATTACACGAAGTAATTTACAATTACAACTCTAAAATATGAATTACATCTGAAATAATCAAATACATGAAATAGAATGATTAATAGTACATTTCCCTTTTTTTAGGAAATGACCTGTATGTATCTGTATGGAATCAATAAAAGAATCAAATCCATTATCTTTAGTTACATTGATAATATTTATTTATGGAAAAACAGTGGTTAAATATCGCTGTTGCTTTCTTATACATGAAGCGGACATACCTGAGTGGCCGCGATCTAATCCTGTTTACATAAAGTGAGCCTGCTCCCGAGCAGGTTTACGCTTACGGATCTGTTGCTATGACAGCAAGTCCCGGATGAGCTTCGGAGATCACGCGAAATCGTCAACAATCAAATCCAGCTAACTTACTTAGCGAGGTACGAAGAACGGACCCCTGAAGTTGACTTGCATGTGTTCAGTTTCCTTGTGGATATTCTTGCTTCTTCCCACACTTCAAATGTGTGAGCGTTAACAGGTATGAATAGTTGTCTTTCTCTATTAGCTCTGACTGGCTCAGCCCCTCTACAACCATGAATTAAACTGGATGGATGTTTTTCTGAGCTTGGTGATCAGTCTTGGTATAATATTTGACTGTATATGCGCACACACCCCCACCCCTCTGCTCCATATTGGAAAATTAAGGCTTTTCCATCTGAGAGGCATCCCTCTCATTTGGACTACACTGCAATTGACTTTATTGTCTCTTGCTTGTGCAGCTTTTCCTTGGGTCCTCACAACCACCTGTTTTAGCTTCTCTCTGAGATTCAGAATTGATTTCAAAATCCTCCTGTTTGTTTAGTCATTCATGGTTTAACTCCTTCCTACATCTCTGACCTCTTAGAGCCCTGTGATGCTCCAGGTCCCTCCAATCAGACCGTCAGATGTTTCAGACTGTCCCTCAATCTAGAGTTAAACTCAGACATTTTTTGCCCCCACACTGTGGAACAGCATTCCAACATTAAAACTAGATTTAAAACTTATTTTTATTCCCTGGCATTTGACTCTGTCTGAGTTTAATACTAAAGCTCTCTGTGAGATGACGTGAAACAAGCCGGCTGTAAATGTTCCGGTTTTGTTTTCTGAATTTGACTGTCTAGATCTGAAATTGCCTCATACTGATATAACATCTCGTTACCTTCTCAGACTACAGTACTACTGCTTTCATGATCGTAATGTGATGTGAAACTGACTAAACTGGACAAATATTAAGATTTGCATCATGTGACTCACATCACATCAAAATCAACTGAACTCTTTATTGCAAACACCTTGTTGCTGCTGCACCTGTAGCTGCGAACACACAGCAGGTGAACCTGGTTTTGTTGATTAGCCTGTAGTAAGAGAATAAAAACACCAGTGGCACCAGCACCAAGTGTTCAGTCATCATGGCCTCCCTTTGGTATTGTGTAGCTGTTTTGGGCCTGGTGGCAAGAGGTTCAGTAAATGCAGGTAATGTCTAAATGAGAAATAGCTTCTTTTTTAGAATTTAAGGGTAAGAATTTTATGTTTTTAATTATCCCCTTTGCTCCCTCCCTCTCTACTTAGACATGAAACTGGATTGTAAAGGTGGTTTTGTGACACTGGTGTGGACAGACGGTAGATCTCAGATGGACACTTCACTGCTCCGTCTGGGCAGCTGCTTTCCCACAAGCCTCACAGACAGGGAAGCTGTTTTCACTGTGGACTTCAATGACTGTAACTTCAGGAGGCTTGTGAGTAGCCCAGAACTATGTGCATGAAAGAACAGTCTATCCCTACAGGTTGGTGACTCATCTTTCCTCCCCACAGGTTACTGGCAAACGACTAATCTACGCCAATGACCTGACGTACATTACCCCACCTAATTCTGTCATCCCTTCGTACATTGACTTGATTGTCTGTGAATTTGAGAGGCAAGTGGACATGTTGTAACATGGAATGCTGAACAAAAAAGCAAATGTATGTTTAATTAAAAAAAAATGCAACCTTTTAACCTGTTTCATGCAGGCCCAGAGATTGGTACCCCCTGGTTTATGAGCCAGTGTTTAGTACCTATGGTTTAGAAGAACTAGTATTTCATATTGGACTCATGAATGGTGGGTATCTGAAAGTGCCTGAAAATAGAAGCAGTCGTAAACATTCCTGCGACTCACCTTGTTCTGTGTAAATCTAGCTAACTTTTCAGGCCCTGCTGAATCTACAAGATTCCCTCTGGGCTCAATCATCGCCATCATGGCTAGCGTGGAGCAGCAGACCCATCAGCCATTGCTGCTACTCATTGATGAATGTGTCGCTGCCACCACACCTGAGTTGCAGCCTGAAAGTTCTCTATACCCATTAATCACCAAGAAGGGGTAAACTTGTGCTATCAAGAAGCACTGACTTGGGTATTCTTGTTGACTAGACCTTGAAATAATCTGTTTCTCTTGAACCTCAGATGTCTTGTCGACAGTAAGAAATCGCGCTCAAAATTTGAACCCAGGCAAAAGACTTCAGAGATCCGGCTATCCCTTCAAGCCTTCAAGTTTGCTGTGGGAGGAGAGGTAAATGTCTTTAACTGCAAGAACTGAATGTAGGAAACGAAGCAGATTGTTGGTTAATCGTGGAATACTATACATCCTGCAGGTGTTTATTCATTGCAGCCTTGTGGCTTGGGATCCCAACGGACTTGGCAATACTAAGAAGGCCTGCCACTACATCAAAGATTATGGGTAAAACGCATACTTGACTCTGTAGTTTGTAGTACTGGATATGTTGTAGTTCAGCTTGAATGCTGAGCTAGGACTAAATTGTCCTGGAATCGGCAGAAGCTCAGTGATTATTTCTTCCTGCCTACTTCAGTTGGGAGTTGCTTGACGACCCTTCACACAGCAGTCTATGTGACTGCTGTGAGTCCAGCTGCAAGGCCAGAAAGACGAGGGATCTAGTGACAGGTATACATTTCTACACTTTTATAACTGTGCTCTTGCTGTACAGGACTCAACACTGTTTTTTCCACAGGAAAGCATGGTGCAGTACAAAACGTAGTCCTTGGTCCACTCACTATCACAGATTAGAATGAGTCACTAAGGCAAGCTTCTCCTTGAAATAGTGGTACAGACATCCTCTTCTCGGACGGCTCTCAAGAATGGCTCCATCCATGTGACTTCAGGCTCAACTGAGGTTTTTAACTTCCAGGCTGTCGGTGCTTCTTTGCATTTCAGATCTGTGCAATTGTATCAAAGCTGCGTAAATAAATGACTTTCCTTTAAGTATTCATGGGTGTCTTTTAATTCAGTTATTCAAAAATGTACTGAGCGATCAATGTTCAAATACAAACTAGCAAAATCCAAAGGCATGCATTTTGCAACTAATGGGACAACTAATTCTAAGAAAGCTGTAGGGGAGTTGACTAAAGACTCCAGTACATGGAATAAAAGTGACTATAAACGAGGCTTGTAAAATTTTATTTTTAAATATGCTATATGAATTCTAGGCAATACCACCAGCATACTTGAACTGCTGTCCACGCAAGAAGCAACACTGACAGTCAATTTCACATGCTGTTGTGCAAATGGAATAGGCGAAAGGTGGGCAATTAGCAAGACCTAGGT